CTTAATAGAGAGGGGGCCCCCCCCCCCCCCCCCCACAAGTTCCGTTTTATTATCCTTTTGTAATAATCATCCATTTGCTCACATCTGCTTTTATTCTGGTGATATGAACATTTAAAGAACATTTTACAGCATATGGACCAATGCCTGTAATTAAAGAAGTTATATTGTAAGACATTTTTGTGTTGTGACCTAAAGCGACTTCTCATTCATTGTACTCATCTACTTGTTCTCTTTAAACAGGGGAGGAATGGTACAAACAAGTGAACAATATCAGTTTGTGCACCATGCTCTGAGCCTATATGAGAGTCGACTCTCTGCAGAAAAGGTCCAGTGAACGTCTTGCTTGGAAGACTGTTTAACATTAATCCTTTAAGGTAATTAATTGAATTACCGACCAGCAGTTTCTTGAAGGAGTGCAGTAGGCTCCAATGGAACGATTGTGGACAGGAGATGTGAAGACTTGATGGACTTTATGAAACGTTTGACCAAACTAGAAGAACTGTATAATGCTTCGTTTGAATGTAGCTGTACTGCCAGTTTCCGCAAGAAGCGATGGACAGTATAGAAGATATAAATGGGTTTTACATATGTAACTGAAAGGTGGATATACTTCTGATAACATAGGATTATCTGCCATAAAGAATGTATAAACTCCAGACACAGTGGGTATCTAACAATTATTCAGTGTATAACAAATAAACCTTTGCAAACTGTGTGTCTTGTAACTGGACTGTCAGTTGTCAATCTGTTAAGTGCTATTACTTATTATGTGGTGAATTTGTTTTTTGCCCACATAAAGTTATTGCTGCTAGTGTTATCAGTAAATTGTTTAGTTTATTTTTAATTAATCGAAGAATACTTGCTCTTGTGTTATTTTTTGTTGTTTTTCTAAACTGTTCAGAAACAGTGACTATTTTATATGGAGATGTGGTATTGTTCTATTAGCAGTTGTGAATTTCCAACTGGATATTTAAGCAGAGCACAATGTACTTTAATCAGTGGACATGCATTTGCTGTATACTGTGGGTTGTACTATTTGCTGCGCCTCCTCTCCGGTTTTAAATACAGTGTATTTGTAATATTATGTGAGTTATTTTACCTGAAATCTTTATAGCCTATATTAATACTGCAAGAAATAAAACTATTGTCTACTGACTGATAGCATTGTCTTAATGTCCTTTTACAAGCATCAGAAAGCAAACATTTGCTTTTGTCTTTTGGCTGAGCATGGTCAATAGTGGTATGTTAAGTTATATATCTAGGGGCTCAGCATCATAGATTAGCCCCTTGTTGTTTTTTTCTTAATTTGCAACACATCGACAGATATTTATTCCATATGAGGCACTTGGCAACAAGCATCTAATCGTAGGCCTCATTCACACTTGCAGTGTCAAACCTGCGCTTATGCGCACATAATGCGGGTAATCATTTTTCAGTGGCATCATACAGAATTGACCTGCTTTTAGTGCCATTCAGTTTAACTATGTTTAACCAAAATCGAATTCTATGCATCCAGAATCTGAATACAAACGCCAAACATGGCTACACTGATCTCAGTGCAATATATACGGAACTAAACTTGCTTTAAAGCATTAACTAAACACAGAATAAAAGTAACCTGGGAAGCATAAACTTTATTGAGCTCCCATTCACATCTGAGCATTTTATTGTTCATTTCCTGACGCACGACAATGCTCAACTTGAAGAATCCTATTATTTTCAGTGGTGCCTGTACACACCTGAGCGTTGTGTTGTTTGTAGCTCAAAAAAGTACATGAGCTTTTTGAGACACCTTTATGGCCCCATAGGCTTCAGTAGGAGCACCTGAAAATGCATTATTCATGTGAGTTGGCTCTACCAACTGTCTCCTCTTCCCAGTAACTAGCTTTCCATTGGCTAAAACTGAAAATGGCTGACAAATGCGTGAAAAAACGCAGAAACGTGCTTCAAAATAGCCAAAAAAGGTTCATGTGTGAACAGGGGCTTACACTCCACAGATAATTGCTCCTGCATTTAGATAATCTAAGTGCAAGTGTGAATGAAGCCTACTTAGAGGGTAAAAGTCTCATGTGTGGTTGAACTGAGGGGAGCCTGTCTGAGATATGATGTGCATTAAAATTCCCTCTCCTTCCTCACATTATCTTAAATGTTTTCATTTCCTGTAATATATCATATATATAATGTCCTGTATTTGGACTTTATATTTTATATATTAGAACATGTTATTCAAGCAGTTACAATCTGTATACTTCTTGAACGATTGCATGCTTTTTATTTTTTGATGTTGCATTTTACGTATTAAACATGGGCGATGCTATAAATGTTAACAAAATGTTTTGCATTTTCTGTGTATGTATGGATTATTACATCACTGTATATAATTTCTAAGGTGCAATATTGAGCTGAATCTATTTAATTAATGCCGACCTGTATGGATAGTTTTATGTTTGACCATGTAACATTAAACCTGATGTGTTTTAGTTATTTTATCAAATCCTAAACTTTATTCAATGTATTAAAAAATGGTAAAGTATAAAAAAAAGTTCACCATTTGACAGGTGCTGACTATATATATCATGGAGTCAGAAACATAGAAGCAATTTGTCTCCAATATGTATCAATGCAATTAGATTTCCTAAAAGTCCATATTCCAGCCTGTGTTATACAAGATAACCAGTCTGTATGCTTAATAATAGCATTTGAGCCAAACATACTGCTTATGCCAATGCTCAGAGTCTAATGCTTCTTTTAGGGTCAATGGGCTCACAGTCACATTAATGTAGAATTCTAGCCAACATTTATTTTCTGGCTCTAGATAGAGTGGGCAAAGGTTAGGTGTTCTGCCACGTTTTATTGCTCTTGCTATTTGGTAGATTTCTCCTTACTTCCTATTCGGAAGCACAATAGGAAGTGAGAAGAAATCTCCTTTAAGTGAAAAGTAATTCCAGCTTTGACAGTTTTCACTGGAACAGGTGTCCCCATTGCAAGATTTCCCTTCACATACTGTTCCAGTGAGAACTGTAAAATTCTAGAATGCCTTTCACGTTTTGTGCCAGTGACAACAGCCATTAGGGTATATAGTGAGAAGGAGTTCCTGAGCACTAGAAACAAACAGCAATAAAATCCTAAAGTTCTAACTCATCCCCAGCCTGTTCAAATCTAGAAGAAAAAAGTGACAGGGTTACACTGCTAAACAATGCTTCATTTGAGAAAATTTAGTTGCATTTTGGTTAAATCAGATATTACATGTAAATGGCATACATGTTTCTAAAACTTTAAAGTATATGTTTAGACAAAACATATTTTTTTATGGAATAGGTAAGGATTAGAACTCCTATCAGGTTTTTATTGCTTGCTTTGTCCCTGCTGGATAGATTCATTTTCTCTATTTATCATGACGACCATTGTCACTGGGATAGAAAGTGATTGAAAATCTAAAATTCACCAGCTGTAAACAGAATGTGAAGTTTAGGGAAATCTTCCAATAAGGACTCCTGTTCCAGTCACAGCTATTTAGGAGGAGAATTCTGACCTCTTGTTATCTCTCTGGGACAGGAAGTGAAGGCAGATCTCCCCAATAGAATATATATATAAAAAAAACCTTTTTGGCTACACATACACTTTAAGTGCCTTTGTCCAGCATAGCAGCCCATGTCCAACATAGCTGTTCTCTGTAGAAGCTTGCATCTACCATAGGAGCCTGTGTTCACCATATAAGCCTGTATCCATTATAGTAGCCTGTGTCCACCATAGCAACCAGCATCCACCACAGCAGTCTGTATCCACCATATAAGCCTATGTCCACCATAGCAGCCTGTGTCCACCATAGCAGCCTGCATCCAACATAGTAGCCTGCATCCAGCATAGCAGCCTGCATCCAGCATAGCAGCCTGCATCCAGCATAGCAGCCTGCATCCTGCATGGCAGTCTATATTGCCCATAGAAACCAGTGTCCACAATAGCAGTCTGTGCCCACCATAGTAGCCTGTGTCCACCATAGCAGCCTACGTGCAGTAGTCCGTGTCCACCATAGAAGCCTACGTCCACAATAGCCATCTGTGTCCACCATAGCAGCCTATTAAGTCACTTAAAATGTACTACTGGAATTGCCCTAATTGCTGTTGGTAAAACACATTTCTTTCCTCTG